CCCACACGATGTTTTTAGAGGCCTGACATGCAATCAATCAATCGAAGACTGATCAGCGCCCCGTAAATTGAAAGACTAATTTCCAAAAGAGGCATGTAGCGGGATCCTTCATCTACTAAAATTTTGAGTGTACCCACCTTGATGTAGATGCACTACGAAAAATTATTTAACTTTGTTAGAAGTAGAAAATAAGTACATGCTTCAGTGCATGATTCAGGCTAAACTTAATTTTAACTTAACCAAACGTAAATGTAAAGAACGAGCCAGAACCGAAATGAAATTCAAATGTAGAGCATTTACAATTTCATACCGGTGAAGACTTGTGTAAAGACCGGACATATTGACCGCGTTGTCGTAGACTAACCCACGATAATTATTAATGTACCGGTTCCTTAAACTCTCCATAAAATACATACAGCGTCGAACATCGCCCTACTGATTTATGGCCTGGAGTTTGGAAGGAATTCAAAATGACTTCCTTATTGGTGTACCTTTTCCCACATGTCTAAAATATAGCAGAGTTGATCCCACGTGTGTTATTCTGGTGTAGAGTCCACAATTTTGAATAATACTTGCACTTCGAAGTTTTCGGAGAATCTCATCTTTAACTGCTTAGGTATATACCTAATTATTCTTCACCGTTGTGGTGGATAAATACGATGTATTTCCTTTACCGCAGTCACCAAATTTTGTATGTTTGATCTGCTAAGAGTGGTCAATATTTCGAAATTAACTCAAGCAACATCGTGTCATTTACCATTTTGATTATTTCAAAACTTTTTCGAGATGTCCTCTCAAGGAGCTGCTTATTCAATTGGTTTCCAGTCCCATGTCTATTTTCATCTTCGGGCGTACATTTTCTATTGACATGTAAGAATTCTCATGTCTCTTTGAATTTGGGAATGCGCATTTTTTCCAGTCATTGAATCCCTCTGATGATATTTGTTCTTTACTTCTATTTGCTTTGGAAACAATAGGACAAACACCTAAGAAAACAGTCCATTGCTCTCATTAGTAAACAAGCCACTTTTCTTCACTGGACATGCGTATACTCAACATATTCGAAGTTAAAGTAACGAACTTGCCATCACTTGTACTCTTTTCTTGATTAGAAAAATCAGCATTTTTTATTTTGTTCGAAGCCATGCTGGCAACATAATCACGTGTACTTTCATTAATAGACCACAAAGCTGGATCGCTTTCCAACCAAAAAACGATCAGTCGAAGTTATGGGTTCATCAATTTTATGATCTTGCAATGGATACAATTCGGTAGAACATCCTATGAATTAAAAAAGCAAATAATAAATGATCTATAATAATGTTATGTTAATATTATAAAAACAATATTCTAGAAAGATGTATAATATGTAAGATATATATATATAAAATATATTATTAAATATATAATATATATCTTAGTTTATTAGGTTTATTTAATTTTTACATAGTTATCATGTACCATTATATATAGGTTTATTTAATTATACAAAAAAAATGCCTTAAAACTATTTACATCGGTTTGAATCGTCGCTCATAATCCAGTCCAGTTATATTTCAAATTGCTTGAGGAACCAGTCATTTTTAGATGTTTGCGACTTTGCAGTCTCATTATTGATTCAGTGATAACCCCTGAATAAATAAGTCAAAATATTATATGTATTATACATTATTGTATGAAATAAATAATAATATAATTATAGTAACATATTTGATCTAATTTATTTAAATTTCTATATAAAAGATATAGTTTAATTTTTAACAATACAACAACGTTTTAATCATTGTACTAAACATTTTTTGGATTTTGGAATATTTTAGCATCTGCCCATTAAAATATTATTTATGTTAACAATTTATTTATCACCAAGTTATTAGTACATGCAAAAAATATACACGCTGAAAACCTAAACATATGCTATCTAATCTAAATGTTTATACTAACTCAGTAGTAGAATTGTTGGAGATGAAACATGCAAACAGGGATCAGTTCCCATATAGTTTCAGAATTCATTAAGTTTTGTCTTATCAATTTCATTTTGACACATCTCTTCCTTTTCTTTTTCGTATTTTTGCATCATTGACTTTCCGCTTGAGCCTTTTTCGATAATCACTCACTTTTAAACTTCAAAATATCATTTTTACTCAGCAGCGCTCTTACAATAAACGATACCACAACAATAGAAACAAAGAAGAAGAAAAGGTTATTTCCGATGATGTCTTCTAGAAGCTAACTCAAGAAGTAATAGTATGTCGCCTATTCTATATTATGCGTAATCTGTAGATGCAATGGCGGAAATCTCGTAGCGATTTCTGATTGGTCTATTCAAACTCCTTACTCTAAGGAATGTAATTCTTTCTGCTCAATCAACCAATCAGAAGTCGTTGCGACGAATTTCTTATTCATGTATTGGCTGCTAACATTGAAATGTCCCCATTATTCTTGAAATTCAATGACAATTGTATTAAATCAAAGGTTGAGGGGCGCTGTCTAGTCCGTTTTAAAGATCATTTTTAATATATAAAATAGATTCATTGCTCCTATAGTGTTTAGTAGAACCAGAAATTTGTTTTAGAAGAAAGTATCAAGAAAAATTTGCTAAGAAAATTTTTGCCCGCCCTTGAAAACTTGTGCGCCTGTAGGCACGTGCCTACTGTTCCTATGCGTTAATATCCACCTCTGATTATGCCTCCACAAATCTGAAAGACAGAATTTGAACCACGGGCTTGTTGAGCGTGGTACTTGGGCGCACTTCCCGCCCAAACCCTGCCAGCACCGCGCAAAGATGGCTCAGGGCATCAACTAATTTGCCTGCATGGCTTCTGCTGACCGGAAGCACTTTGGATCTATGTCCGACGGTGGCAAGGTTTTCGTACACTTTCGGCCGTGTCAGTTAGGGTTGAATTCAGCTTCTGTGTAGGAGGAAATTCTGGGCAGCGGTGCTGATCGGTAGTGTGGTTGCTGCGTTCCGCGTCAGCATTCAAGGTTAGGGTGGAATGGCGAGGCGAGTCTACGGCGGGCCATTGACTGCGCGCGCGATCTTTTCGGCTTGGTGTGTTTTTAAGGCCCTCACCGGCCTTCCTTATCTGTAGAGTCTTACATGCTTTGCGTGACACCATGTCGGAACCCTGGCGGAAGCTTAGTTTTCCCGGCTGTGATTGCTGGTGGGAGTTACTGTGATTTTGAAACTCCGACGATTAGATTGGCACCCGGATGTGGTGCCAGCAGTGGGAGGGAGATCACCCCCACCTCAGTGATATACAATAGCGAAACTTACGGAAAACCGAGACTAACGATCTTTGCAGTTAACTTGCCTGAACCCTAATTAAAGAAACAATCAACCCTTCGCACCAAGTCACCGTATTTGCGGACAGG